TCTGACCGACAGAATTTCATCAGTTTTGGTAGATGGACCTCCTCAATTTTCTTTCACCTCGATTAGACAGTTTTTTAGGCAACAACGGACGCGATCATTGGTTCCTTTTTGAATTCAAAAGTAAATGAACGATGGCAGAACTTGGCAATGGTTCTACACTACTTAAACGCAGTCTGAAACGCAATGATCGTGGCAAAGAATCGGGTAGAAGTTGGTGGCAAGTGGAGAACTCAGAGTCTTTCCATCCTTTCAGTAGTAGATCATGTTGTTGAGAGAAAAATGAACGCTGAAGATGCATCTAAGCAGCAGCTCATTCAGGTATGATGTGGACATTCCAACACTCAAATTTTTATCACCTGTGATTTTATGGAAAAACAACAATGTCCTCTCTGTGACCAGCATGTTAGTGAAGACAGGTTAGTCCACATCGAGAGGTGAAACACACATGCCAGTTATATTCGAATCTCCTGTACATTCAACGAACTTGGAATGATAATGGAGTGAATGAGTGGAGAACTGTCTTCTTACAGAATAAAAGCGTTCAAAAAGTTCACTGCCCGTGCGGCGCACTGTGAGATCCCGCCTCAAGGGAATTTCATTTTGGCTCTCGGTTTTCCAATGACTTACCTTCAGACCCCAGTCGGTATGTTCACCATTTTTCCGGCGTACAACTACGTAATTTTCAATTAGAAGTTTTATCGTCCGGTCCTAAATTCTGCGACTTCAAACATAGGATTGATCAACTTGGTAAAAATGTGGAATTTGAGGATTCAATGTCAGAGACAAATGGCTCAGTCCCATCATCTGATGATGAACTCGCCAGATCCGAAACAACGTTAATTCATAGCTACCAGCAGTGCGCAAGCAGTATTCATTCTGCTGAGAGTTCGTTGACTAAGCAGCATGGAGAAGCGTGGAGAGCACTAAAGAAAGATAAGAGCCTGACAATAAGTAAACCGGGTAAAGGGGCTGGTATAATGTTATTGGATAAGATCGAATACACTGGCAAAGTGAACTCGCTCCTGGACGACCAGACAAAGTATCAAAAACTTTATGGCGGTGCAGATTTAAACAATGAAACGGAAAGACAATTGACAATTTTTCTTAAAGAACTTAGACCGAGGCATATGATTTCTACGACGACCTGTGAGGCGACTGAACCCACAGGGTGTTACACACCAGGCTAGTACGGCCTACCTAAGGTCCACAAACCACAACCTCCTCTACGTCCGGTTTTAGATATGTCCAGTTCCCCCCACCGTAAAATCGCGAAGTGGCTAATCTCAGTTCTATAAACCCCCGCAAACAGGTCGCTGGGAATAGTGTCAAAGATGCATTCGATTTCATCTCCAATTTGGAAAACTTGAATATGAACGGAGAACATACGGTATCTTTAGATATTGCTCCCTTATTCACTAATGCACCACTCCTCGAAACAGTAGACTTCGTTTGTCAGCAAATGGCAGAAAGACAGATTAGCGTTGGAATTCTAGAAGGTAGCCTCAGACAATCACTTCTGTGAAGCACTACGAATGTTCATTCCTCTTTAATCATACAAATTGCAGGCAAGTTGATGGAATCGCCGCTGGTTCACCATCAGGTCCGGCATTAGCCGATTTTTTCCCCACTAAACTTGAGAATGGACCACTGAAAGATGCCATCGATAACCTGCATATGTATAAGCGTTATATCGACGACACTTTCATCGTCATTGACCGAAACGTCGACAAAAACGAATTGTTAAGAAAGTTCAGTAGCACGCATCCATCTCTCACTTTCACTTGAGAAGAAGAACAAGAAAAGATGCTACATTTTTCAGATGTCCTATTGGTTTGAAGGGAAGATGGGTAGCTTGGTAGAAGCGTGTACAGGAAGATCACATCTACGGGTCAGTACATACACTTCCTCGGCTTTGTGCCCATTCGATATAAAAGAAGTCTAGTCTGATGTTTTCCAAACAGAGCCAGTAGGATCTGCTCCGGTGACCTGATACAAAAGGAGTTAGAACATACCCATAATATGCTGCTAGAAATAGGTCATCCCATAGTTTTACCAAAAGACACATGAACAAAGCAAGTAGGAAATCTGATCAAATGGCTGTCCAGAAGAAACCAATAATCATGAGGCTCCAATTCAAAGGAGACACACTTATTGAAGTTCTATTCCATAGGCTGTCTACGGACATCAGAAGGGCTTTTTATGCCTCTGACCTCTGCTTATCGTCTTCTAGTCGGCCGATAATTGTCACCCAGACAAAAGAAGAGCTACCCAGTTCTGCCGATTCGATGTGTATTTACCAGTTCAGCTGTTCGGGTGGAGAAAGCTGCAATGGGCGTACAACTAGGCAGCTTAACAAACGTGTCGCTGAGCCCCCACCGTCATGGCTAGGAAAGGGACAAGTGAAGCCAATACGAAGCTCAATTCTGCCACACTTAGTCGGCAGTGGTCACACAATAGACAAGGCCAAAGCGTTCAAGATCATCTATCGCATTCCACAAAATATTTCGAACAGAATTCGCACCCGCATTTCGCGCATAGCTCAGTTAATGAGAATCAGAGGAAACAAACCTGGTCTTTGTGTCCAGAAAACGTTTGTGCAGCCTCCATCTTTACCTTGGCCGGAGAAAACCTGATAAATATCTTCATATAAATTCAGTTTTCATCCTCCTCCCCTTTCTTCCCCACTTTTCACACATGCCTATCTATTTGTTTGACTTTGTCTACACATTTGATATTTTAGTATTACCTAACTTATATTTTTCTAAGTTTTGATCGACACTGTTTGTTTAAATATTTACAGTACCATGTCGTTCCCATTGTTCTAACCATCATTGAGATAACTGTTATCGCTGCCATTATTATCATGATCGTCTAGATATCTACTATTTACGTGCTTCATTTCCTAAATGCCTCAGAATGTGGATTCCACCATGACTGGTTTAACGATTTATAGAGGAGAAAATTTACGTGTAGTAGCGCGAAGCGTGATAACAGCTGATGGAAGGGAATATTTTCCGCTTAAATGTCTTCTTATACTTTTGAATATTGTAATTTTTATATTTTGTGGATACTTGGTGGTTGTTAACTGTTGGATATCGTGAATAGGTAGAAAAAATTACGAACAGGTGTTTGCTGTCTCTTAATATTTAGCGCAAAACTCCACTTTTTTTCATGATGCACATTTCAGTGCCGAAAGTCATCCGGTATCCCCTAATTTTATCTTTTAGCCGATTCCAGAACTGCTTTTATGTTGGTATGCTGGGATGGTTCACAATTCAGAATGGATTCGTTAATGACTTACACGCCTACGCTTCAAGCTTCATTTCATGTGTTGACTCAGTTTCTAAGGCATCGTATTGGGCATCGGTGTATTTTGCTGCCCTATAAGGCTGAAATACTCGTCACAAAAAGACATCAAAGCGTCGGCAGTGAACACAGGCTATTGCCACTTATGGAAATGTATTAAGATGCCGTTACTGCCAGCTTTTAATCGATTTTCGCATTTGGAATCACTTAAGAAACAAATATTTAGACACCATACGCACATTTGTTAATTTCAACTTCCGGTCCCGCTCTAAATGCTTGGGTGCCTCGATTCGTTGCCTCAGCCAATTTAGCTATTCGTAACTCAAACGTCGAACATTGCGCAGTCTTGATGCTACCTGTGGGTGATAAAGAATATGGGTAAAAATTATCCAAAACTCGTTAACGCCATGCATATACTGAAAAGTGCCGTATCCTCGCCCGTTTCATAACTTACAGACACTTTTTATATTACGTTCTATATTGATTCATTGCTTACGGATTGGCTGTCAACACATTGATGAGTATCGTGAGATAGGAGGAAACCATGAAGTTGGCATTAAAACTGACACAGAGAACGACATCCTCGGACGGAGTGCGTACTGTGATACGAGTAAGGTTGAATACATTTCTCCTGGTTTCACTTTCCAGTGCTGGAACAATGAAGTCACATCCTGTACCTACTTATTCATAGTGTGGATCACACAGATCTTTGGATGAACCACTGGTAAAGTAAGGAACTCAGACTAGTCAGCGCGGAAACCATTGTAATCCATCCCATTCAGCATAGATGTGCCACCTCGGTAGGACTATTGATGCATTCTAGGCCAGTTTGGTGCGACGTATGCCCAATTTACCGAGAACTACTGCGATTGCTAGCCGGCAAATGCATACCGACCTGGAATCTTGTAGTAATGGTTCCATTACTAAAGACTATACCAAGAAAACTATGGCATGCAGTAGGTTGTCGTTTTTGCGATCACAAGTGAGACAGCCACTAGTTTACCTCTCGTTAAGTCAAAGAAGTCGAACAACCGCACAATAATAAGCAGACCGCGCCCATCCAGTCAGGACAGAGATTCGGCGAAAGTCACTGCTTGCTATTACAGCAGTGCAACACTCCTTGTTACCCTCGTGCACACTTACCTTCATCGCTCCTATAAACATGGACATGATTCAGCCTATTAGGCTTCCTGCTTCTCAGGCTGCAATCTCATTATTATGTCCACTATTTTTATTTCCATCGAATCTTCGAGTATTTCACCTACTTTGCTCTACCTTTCTTAAGCTCTGTTCTCCAGTGCAATTCTCCTGAATATACCACATAGCTGCTCTCTACCTTCTCTTTGGATATCCCTGGAATTTTCCTTTTGTCTGACATTTCTCTTCTTCATTTTACTTGGTTATCTCCCTAGTCTTTTCGCCTTTCCTTTGCCGTTTGTTGTATGGTCTACCTGGTGATGTGATATCTGAAGATCCTACCTACACCGCAATCCCAAGATAAATCCATCATCTACTTACGAAATTAACCATCACTCAACCTGTCACCGGGTGAGATAGCCACACCAAGTTAGTGGCTGGGTCCACTTTCTACCAGTCCACCACAGACGTGAAATCGTTCCCCAAGACTTAGCAGTGGGAGAGAAGTGTCTATCTGATGAAAATGAGCACGTATAGTAGACATTGGAAATTTGATACTGCTTCAAGCGCTCACTTTGACTTTCGTCTATGTACTCGTTGGCCGCTTTGTTGGCTTTCTGAGGTTGGTTTAGAGATATGCAGTCACATTGGAGTTTTGTTCCTGAATCTCTCAATTGCAGATGCGTTCAGTTAGTCCTTGTGGCTGACTAGGTCTTTTTGGTATTTGAGCTCATGAGATTATTTGACAGCTTGCAATTCAATATGTTGGCTTAAAGCTGTTTATCCCTATAGCTAATTGCTGTTCACTTGAAACTTTTGAGAATAAGTAATGTTTTCTTTGAAACAGTACTGCCTAAAAAACCCAGAATTTGCCTATTCGGTAAAAGTCCTTGTGGTGAATGTACTAATCTTCTGCCGCCTGTGTAATGTCAGAAGACTACCAACTATATGATCAACTTAGTAGTGGCTCACTGAATGAGTGAAGTCAAATGTTTGCTGCCTTTTCAGTGTTGCCGATTACGCCAGCTGTGCACAGGGACTGAATAACTGAGGGGTCCTTCTGATGGGCAACACATTCTGAGCCTGTTGCACAGTCGCACACGCAATCATTGTAAAACACACTACACCACGAAAATGATAGATGTGCGACCAAAAGTAATTTGTTGGCAGTAGGTGAAAAGAGAAATGGTGCTAAAGTGCAGAAATCAGGGCCGAAAAGGCTCTTAAACTTCTAGCTAAGCCCAGTACCAGGAAAAAAGGTGAAAACCAGCATCTGATAATTAATTGGTATATTGGTTATTCAAATTCTAGGAAGAGGGTATGATGCTCGGCTTAAATTGTGAATCTTGTGTTACTGGATATAGGAATTATGTTTATGAGACATCTATTGAGTGAGTGAAAACAACCTCAGATATATGGTTTTTGCAGATCGATAATGTGGCGTTGGCAATCCGCTTATGGATGAATGTTTGCATAATGTTTGGAGTTAATAAGTAGGAAGGTCTCGTTGTGTATCCCAACATCTTGTCTGGCCATTCAGTCCCATCTATCTTCACTTGCCTCAAAGAAACAGGAATGCTTAGCGGTTTCTATTGTAGGCTCTTGAGAAAGATGTCGCGACTGCTAGTATCTAATTTCTCTTACGACTTCCAATTGGTAGAGCTAATAGGATCAATGAGGTACTGCGCACTTTTTCCGCTTTTCTTGCTCTAATATAGAATGTTAGGAATACAATAAACGCAAGCTGGTGACATTAGAAGGATTTTCAGAGTTTATTTATGCCGATTTTATCTTCCATAATGTCATATGCTAGTTCTCTATATTTTCAGGATATCAGTCAGGTGTCTGAGATCATTTGTTATTCACAGTAGATTATTCAAAATAATCTCTTTTATCATGTGGATGAAATCCTATTGTTTCTCATTTATCGAGACAACCTACCTCATTAGTTGAAGACTTCAAAATCTTCTATTTGTTTGTTAGTTTTCCTTAACGAAATCCAATGCTTCATATGTTGCCTTCTAGGCTCATCTCTTGTTACTAGATAGAATATTTTTCTTGCTGCAATAGGTGTGGTCGATGGTTCAGTATGCAGTTAGTCATTCTGCATCAACGTGAGACTTGGCATCGCTGCATAACGCCCCATGTTGCCATACGTCATATCAGCACATAAAGCGAAAGTGCACTAAGATAAAAAAAAATATGGAAGTGGTCAAAGAGGGTACAACACCATGGAAAGAGAAAAGAGAGAGGTAAAATATTGATGGAAATTCACATGACGATCAGGATGAAAATAATGTGCGGGTTCGTCTGCACCTCTGTAATCGATTCTGAGCTATATGACCTAGTCTCCCATATCCGGTTTATTTGCCACTTGAACTTCAACATTTACATTTCCTTACACGGCTCAGATCAGTAGTCAGAGACTTCGTGAACTAATGCCATGTTTCGGTCTGGTCGCCGAAGCAGATAATTTCAGGTTGGTATTCATCATAGATTGACATCAATTTGAAAAACATTCAATACCTGGGAGTACTCATCCATCATCCATCCATATCAACATAAAATTAGACATTACTGCTTAATGGTTCGAGTTGCCATACCTCATATCAGTAAATCAAGTAAAAACGCAATGCAGCGGAAGATGAAAAGAAAATTCAATCGATAAAAGTACTAAGAGAGAGAAAGGTAGAATGAGGAAATGGTAAGATTCGGTGTAGCGTTAAGATGAGAATAATATGTATATACATCTGTCCCGCTGACATCGGTTCTGAGCCATATCACCTAGTCTCTCTCTTGTCCTGTGGACCCCAGCCGGCTAATCTGCATTGTCCTACATGACTCATACCAACAGTCAAAGACTTCATACATTGACGGCATGTTTTAGCCTGGACTTCTCAAGCCTTTTTCCAGCCTGAATCTGCTTCGGCCAACGTTGTGTGACGACGCAGATGGCGACTAGACATACGCAACACATGTTCCAACCATCTCAGTCAATGACGCTTCACAGTTGTGTCAACTGACTTACCTTTTCTCCCTAAAACTGTACACCTGACTTCTGCGTTAATCACACGATGACACGACGGAATACGGTCTATACTATGAAGGCAACGGTGGTCAAACACCTGCAGCCTTATCGTGTCTTCAGTGGCCATGTTCCACAGTCATACAGTAGAACAGAGCGGGCTGCTGTGGAGTACTCGAGACCCTTGATATACAATCATATCATGGCGGCGCCACAGATGGCGTAAGTTGGCAAAAGCCAGTCGAGCCTTCCGTATTCCTGCAGGGATTTCATCGGCCACTGAACCACCAGGCCTGATCTCACTTCCCAAGTAAGTAAAGTAGTCGGCACATTCAACCACTACACTCTATTATTAGCCGCGGTGGGGCGCCGTTGAAGACCAGTCCTGGAGCAATAGTTTGCATTTGGGTGGTGATAACCGCATCCCGAACATTCTCAAATTGTCGCTCAGCGTCTAGAACTCTGCATCTTGTCAGCGTCTTCACCTAACTGGACTATGTCATCTGCATATTCTAGGTCTAACAAAAATTCTCCTGTGATTAGGTCAACGTCTGTATAACCTGGTGACGAAAGGGAGACCTCCATAAGAGTATCTATGACGAAATTGAATAAGAATGGAGTGGGCATCCTTGACGGACACCGCTAGATGAGTACAGCTCACCATAGGCTCTAACATGCCCACAAGTGTTCAAATAGAGAGCTTTCAATAAGGTGATGTACTAACTGAGCATGGCTTTCAGTGAGAGACATTACCATAAGACTTCTTGATCAAAGGAGTCAAATGCCGCTTTCAAGTCGAGAAATGCAGCTATTGTCGGGCTTCTGCAAGCATGCCTATGTTCCAGGACCTGGCGCAGCGTGAATATTTGGTCGATACACCTCCGGCCGGGTCTGAAGCCTGCCTGCCTGGTTTTCTCAGGCTTCTTGTTCCCGAGCTCCACTCAGGTGTCGGAGAATTATAGAACCTAGAATCTTGGACACTATGTTCGTCAGGCTGATTCCTCTGTGGTTATCACAAGAGGACTTCTCGCCTTTCTTGAAGACTGGAATAATCAGTGATTAAGACCAGTCAGAGGGGATCGTATTTGATTCCCATATACTGGTTAACACTTTCGTCAACTTGACTAAGAGCACTCCACCACCATCCTTGTATACCTCTGGAGTTAGTCCGTCTGGTCCTGCTGCCCTTCCTCGTTTCAGGTTACCTACAGCTTTCTCAACTTCTGCAAGTGTTGGGGAGCCTATCTCAATGTTCCGTTCGGAATCCGACTGGGTAGTGGACAACGGAATGGTGACAGGAAGCCAGTTAAACTGCTCCTCGAAGTGTTCTGCCCATCATTCCAGTCGTCTCCTCTGCGAATGGATCGTAGACCCGTCCTTCTCCGCTATAGTCTCACTAACCGTTGTTGACATTCTCCCCATAGTTTCCCGATTACGTCTAAATAGCTCTAATGTCACCAGTCGCCGCTGCCTTCGCTGTTCACCACTGTTCGCGGTCGTTGCGTAGACTTTTCCTCAATCTACTTTTAAGTTGCGCTCGTTCTTCGTTGTACTCAGAGCCTGTAGGGATGCGTTCACGTGCATCCATTAATTCGGAGGGAGCTGTTGATATCCACCGGCTTTTTTCAGCCACTCTTTCGGGGTCGGCTAGGTCTTTAGAGCTGCTTTTACGTCAGACTAGAGATGGCACCAAGCTTCTTCTGGATGAGTGATAGTCTTCTGTTCCCACTGAACACGGCTTTAGCGTTTTCGTTGTGGAGCTGTTCTCGTAATGGTTGTGTTGCCAAATGTTTCCGACGTCCATTGAGATGCAGGCATATATGTGTTCGGACCAACGCGTGGTCGCTATCCAAACACGCACTCTGGAAGGAGCGGGAGTCTTCCACCGATCCTCTCCAGCGATAATTGGTAGCAATATGGTCTGTCTGTGTCCATCGCTGAGCTGAACTCGGTGGATGCTACGTCAGACAGTATCTTTCTTCATGTCCTAAATTTGCGCCGGCTAAAAATAAGTGGTTATCTGAGCACAGTTGTAGCAGGCAATCACCGTTATCTGTTCGTTCAGCCGGGATTCCGAAAGCACCACCTAAGTGCCTTTCTGCCTCACTCAATCCACCCACCTGTGCATCAAAATCACCTGCACCACATCTGAACGTTTGGCTTTCGAAAGGAGGCTAGACAGCTTTCGGTATAACTCGTCCTTCGCTTCATCCGAACTGCAGTCAGTGGGTGCGTAAGTAGAGACTACAAAGAGAAAACGGCGAGTCTCACTATTCCTTTTAGTTCCCACTGTGCCGTTCAGTCGAACAGTGCGGGGGTGACTGTTTACTGGGATCCATTCTAGTGGTGAGTTTTCTGTCCTAGTGCTTAATGCTATGCCTACACCTGCAAGACCCTGTGAGCTAGCTATCGAATCTCTATAAACTCGAAGAATGAATTTTGCGGATTCACCAGATTGGCCAGGAGATGTTAGGTGAATAACCGCACTTGGATCCTGTATGTGAGTCTCACAAACAGCACAGATCCATGGACCGAGTTGCTAGAGTTTTTGCCAATGAAGCGTGTTGACCAGTTTGACGGAAGGTGCAAACATTGATTGCCCCGATGTGTAATTTGGAGCGTAGTTTTAAGTAAACCAGGTACACTGTTCTGTCGATTCAGATCGCTGTCAAAGACTGCTTAGCTTGGAGAAACTGAAGAGATGTGAAGGAAGGTTAAAAATTAATGATGAGGGAGTTGGATAGCAGTCTGAAGAAACTTGAATGTTGACAGTTGTGAGGGCGGTTGACACTTCCCAACTGCCCACACCGTGGTAGGCTACTTCTTTTTAAGGTACTTGAAAGAGATTTATATGACCGCAGAGCCCATTGCATATGTGCTTAGGGCTTGTCATACAGCCTTTTATGTATGTATGTTTTGAACTTTTGTTGTTGTGGGGTCGGGTAGTTGAATAGAAAAGACAAATGAACCGCTGGCCCGGAAGACCGTGGGATATAGTGGAGTGTGTTATTTTTTGGGCCGACCTTTTCTACCCCCTCTTCCACTGAGAAGGGAGCATCAGCATGGCAGTGCTGGCCATCCAAGGGAAACATCCTACTGCTGTCACATGGCATCCAGCTAACAGCAGTACGACGTCGCCGTCAGACCTCCATCATAGTGTAGTAATTTATACCACAACGGTAACTGCTTTTCGTCTAACCACTATCCAATAGACCTTTCTGGTATGGTAGGACCTTGAGTGAACAAGCGTTATGCCAACATAGTTCGTTGGGTCATTGTGATATGCAATCCCGACCACCACGTCAAGGTAGCAGCTATCGGTTGGCCAGGGATCGAACCCAGAATCGTCAGGTCCCGCGACCAGCGTGTTACATTGAGCCACTGGGTCGGAATTCAATTAGTAGTATTTACTACCTCCAAATCGAGTTAATCTAGTACTCATTTGTGACTAGCTTCGAGAGGTGGTTCTCGAAGTTCCAGTTAGATGTCGTGACCGATGGGGCCAACCAATTCGGTCATGGAGACAGTTACTTAACGACGGCATTGGATGGAGGTTGCCCTATAGCGTGAACTAATAGAATTAGGAATGTGAACCACTGGATTCCATCCCAATGGTTTAGTGGCAACGTGCTGGTCGCGAAACTCGTAGGTCCTGGGTTCGATCTCTGGTCGGGTGGGGTCATGAGGAGTCCCGTACTGGGACGAATTAGCTGTCCAGTACTTTCAGGTTTCCACGGTTTGTACAACTGTTGTTAGTCCATGATGAATGCCAACTTGAAATCAGTAAACAAATCTCCACAAACCTCCAAACTGAAGCAGACATGTGCAGCACATATCTCAGCCACCGGAGACACTGATGGTCCATAACATTGGCTGACTTTCCTCTCCTGCTGGGGATTTTATGCCTTAGTGCTACTTCACTAGCGTGATGACACCATAACACAACCTTTTTTGTGGAAACAACGGTTGAAGGCTCCCCACTCCCTCTACTTTTAGTGGCTGTTTCACAGCCACATAGTGGAAGAGAGTGGACGGCAGCTCAGTATACAGATTTTTTTCAGTTTTTTTTCTTTATACACATGCTTGTATGACTAGGGTAACCTAACTGCTACAATCAATCAGAGTGTTTGATCCTGTTGGCACGTTGTGGCAACTGGAGTCGTCCTAACCTGTGAGATTTCTCGTCTTTGCCTGGAAAATTACCAAAATTTCTTCCTTTAGCGTTGTCTATTTAGGTAAGCCTATTCTGTCCCTGTTGTCTACAGGTGTATGCAAATTGTCTGGTTTTAGTTTTGAGGGTCGTTCTATATGTCTGAGATCGAAATCATTTCTCATCAGTTGATTTAAATGGCTTACAATAAAGCTGTTAATGTTAAGGAATTTTCTACTCATTATCTTATTCATTTCCAGCCGCAGTTTTTTTAAATTTTCTTAGTTTGATGAAGTATTTCATTAATACCAATTGAATTTTATTGTGATACTCTTATAGTTGTTCAGTAGTTAGATGCAAACTGCTGCGCAACTCTGGTGAAGCTTGTGATCGTGTAAAGTTTCAGTAAATTCAACTTGTAAGCCTTATATTACGGTAATTTTCGCTGTTATTAACTGGAGACATTCTTCCTGCTGCTAACGAATCTGTGGTATGAGCAGTCATCAGATGTGGTGGTTACCCTTCTGTTTTCACCTGAGCATTTCCAATTTGGTTTATGACTGAGGGTATTTATTTAGAAATTGTGATTCTTGAGGATTACATACTTCTGAACTCTATGTGAAATGAATTTTTATGTTACTTGTACTAAGCAGTCAATTTATGGTGGGTTTTATGTGTTAATCCATGGAACTAAAGGAAACCTCGTCTGGATCGTAATGAAATAATATTATTGCATATCAACCCCTTGACTGATCAGTGTAATGTTACTTCTGACCAGTGAGATTTGGACTGGAACTTCAGAGTTTCTAGCCGTCAGGTGGATTCATTGCCTAGTGTGATCATCTACATGCTGTTGCTTTTTTTCAACAAGACTGATTTCAAAGTTTACAGAACTATTTAAAGTGTTATGCTTAGTGTTTTTGCGCTTCCGTATGCATAAAAAAACGAAAGATTCAGCATGAAACTACATCTCAGTTTTCATGTCACGTAGAAATCATAGGATCTATTGTTTTACAGTGTAGTACTCAGAAATAGGTCTGTTACACTGACCAACTTGTCAACATTTTAGCGTTATCATATAAGCTACTCATAATGTGCACAATATCTTGTTGCTCTGTTTTAAATGACTACTGATCGCTCCTCAATATTTCCAGAGCTTTACTGGAATCCTTATCTTCCGTTCTCACTAGAAAACTATCATTTTTTTACTTTACATGAGTTTCGTTTCCTTTCCTAAAACTTTATTACTTCTTTTGCAGCAGTTTTTCATTGATCACACAATCGAATAAAAATGAAGCTGTTTTCATTACAAATACTTTACAAAACTGACACATCAGCCAAATTATTACAGGCTTCACATGACCTGTCAAACTTTGGTTATTTTCAACGATCCAGTGTTAGAGAGTTTATGGATTTCACTGCTAAACTAGTTGGTGAAAGAACAGCTCGTTGTCAACGTAGATTGATCAAAGAGCAAGGTTTGGTTTGCTCATAGCTTCTAATCGATTTACTGTTCTGTAGATTACATATGTCATGTTTATGTTCGACATGACAATCTTTGTGGTGTTTTGATCTGTGATCAGGAGTATCCTCAAACGGTAGCTCAAACTTTGTTAACAAAAGTAAGTAATATAGTTTGTCAAACACTTTTCCTTTTAATAATGACCCTTTCAGTTGTCATTGAGAAATTTTTGATCTAACTCAGTGTAATGGCTTTATTATGAAGTTATTCGGCTAAGCTAACTATCAGTGTGTATCGGTTACAGCTTTAAAATTGCTTTACCTTTTTCGATCTGAACCTCGCCATATTGTCGTCAGCTCAAACATTCGATTTATATGAGTCGTGGTGTTGTACATAATCCTGTGCATAGTTGCTAAGGTTTTGTAGTTTTAGCTCAGTAGGGTACTTAAAACTCATGGGGTCACTGCTTTAAGCACAGATCCATGTGCTTTATAGTGTTATTGATTTATTATACATAAAGTAAGATGCACAATACTCAGCAAACACGTATCGCTTTAGCTTAGTTATACATTTTAAATTTGTAATCTTGCATCCTAAAATGAAGTGAATATATGTTCATGCGTGAGTCCGGTATAATTACTCTTGCATTGAAAATTTAGATGGAAACTTTTCGTAATCGCTCTCTAGCTATCAAAAGCGATTGTTATTTAGGCTGTTTATTTCTTGTCTTCAACTTGTTTTACCTATGCCGATGCTAGACACATTGCCGCTTAACCGATTGTTTTATGTCTAAATTTCATCAACTCAGATAATTGGCCAAGGAAAACAATGTAACATTTTATGCGCTGCAGTGACTTCGGTCACATTTTTGGATGAACAGTCATTTACATGAAACCTGCGTAAGGTAACAAGATTTCGAAGGGTTGTGACTTCGTAATCTAAACCAACCAGGTGCCAACTAGGGAGTAAACCAATCCGTGAAAAATCCGGTATACATTGTTCAGCAGATCTTTTACAAGTTTAGATAGGAATGGTAACATGATATCTTTGGTGGACATCACTGGTTGTTTTTACTTCAACTGATCACTCTTCATAAGCCCTCGACGACTCTGAGTTTGTACAGTGTTGATTAGCATAGTATACTTGCTAGGTACCCGCTTCCTAGACAGTCATTACCAAACCACTATTCTTTTGACGTATTACAATGCCTAACCAAGTTGGGAAGTACAGTTATTATCCGGCTCAGGTGAGCGTTCATGTGACCCAGAACTTGTCAAGCGGTGAAGATCTGACCAATGCACGCTCCCCCATACAAGTCTAACGACTACGTGGTTTGTTTGATTTTGTTGCCGTCGAGCTCGTGCCAGGCATCCGATAACTATAGATTCTGGGATCTCAGGAGTGATGTCAGTTTAACTGACTCTTTTCTGGTTTTCATACAAGTACCTCTCTCGTTTCACATATTTTGAGGTGATCAACGATCCAGATCAATGTGGTCGGCTTACCTCTGATCTCTATGCACTCTCTGGCACTTCGGCTACTCTCTTCTCTACTTTTCTACTTCCATCCTTGAGAAAGTGTGGTGACCAGGCGTTAGATCGTAGTGGTTTGCATTGTTTCAAATTTAAAACAACTTTTTTGGCTTCGAGGAGAGTAGGAGAGCCAACATATTAATGTTTCATTTTGGTTTTAGCTATATTCTCTGCTAAAAGCTTGAAGATAGATACCTTATTCACCAGCAGTAGTGTATGGCTTCCGGCAGTTGTACATCCAAACAGCGTAGTGAAAAGAATATAAAAGGATATAGAAGTAGTAGACGAAGTAATGAAAAAAAATACAAGAGAACGGTGAAAGATAAGTAGAACTACCATGACATACGTTTTCTATCACGGTAAGAGACTAACGTTGTTGCTTCAGTAACTTTATCTAGAAAATCGTATGCATTCCCATTGATTGATGTCAAGTTGCTAACTCCTGCTACAACTCATTTTGATTATTCTGACATTTATTTCCACCAGCTCATGCTGAAGATGCAATTGTAAATCATTTACAGTACAACCGCGAATAGTGTCTTATCCTCAAAAAATTGGAACAGTCCCCTTTATGAATTTCGATAGCGTAGTTTGAAGACGAAGTTTGTCTGAACAATGTGTTGTGCATATACATCACATTGTTCAGACAAACTTCGTCTTCAAATTACGCTGTCGAGTTTCTTATCCGTCCGAGTCATTTCAGGTTCAAGGCTTCTATTGTTTTACTGTAATTTGATGAAACTGTATTCATAACCTCTGCACTCACCGATTACTTCTGCTGCACACAAGCAACTCTTCAACAACATTAACCGAATACCTTTTACTTTTTATGTTTTCTTTCAGCCTAAGTGGAGAAGCTTATTGTTACCTTTCAAATATCTCTCTCCAGAATTATAACTGGTGATAACTAGCAAATATCTCATTTGATCTCTGTGATCAGGAGGACATACGCGTTCCACACGGCGAAATAGTATTCAGAATAGCTTTCCTATTGGTTAAACGATACAATATCGCGGTTTGATTTTAATAGTTTACATAGGAAAAGCGCTTTTCATAGTATGCCCTAGAACCATTTTGCAATAGAAGTAAGAGATCCACTCAGCAACCTTGTACATATTTGTGCTCTAGGCAGTGGGCCATACCTGTTGTGCGAGGGCTATGCGGCTGCCCAAACGTTGTTAGGTGGAGCGATGTTTGAACTCTTGACCCATTTGGTTGGAAGTCAGCTCTCTAAACCAATGTGCCACAACGTTTTATAGCATAAACTTTATTCTCATCTCTACAAGGATTATCCCCAACGTTGTTTTCGCTGTATCGCTCACACCTTTTGGGCAACGTTATTTTCTGGAATTTGACTTCTTTCCCTGTCGTTTACGTTATGCCAGGATTTCTTTCCAATCGAGAGAACTGCACTTATATTTTATGTTCTCGATTTTTCCCCTCTGATCGATATATTTTATCTCATTTCCTAGGCTACCGAGGATTTCGCATTACAGTATTCTGCTGCTACTTGGACAAGTATGGCTGATGGGTAAGTCGACTACATGGTGTGTGCATTTTACACGGTTATTGTCTTTTTAACGACCTTTCTAAAGCTTATTTGTTTTGATATCCCCGTTAATAGAAAAGTTTCATGTACCATGTTGATACATATTCATATTTAAACGCATATCCTATTTATTGAGTGACAGCGAAGTAGTGTTCTAGGTATTCGCCAGTAAACATAAGCTCAACCACTTAGGTGTTTGAACCTTTTAGTAGTCTTGCGTTGATAACAATTGAGCACATGGTGCATAAATTAGTTCTTACCTTACCGTTCCTATATCAGTCCCAGCATTTTATTTCTATTGTTTCTGAATTTATTTAGTGTCTTTTAATGTTTTTGTGAAATATGGTGATTTACATTGATGCTGCCTGGCCAGCGGTAGGCTATCTAACCACCTTCTATGTTACTTGTGTCTTTGTGTACGTCTACACAGCAAGCGGTTATTTTTTATCTTGGTTGTATTGTGTTCTCTGAGCTGGGTTGTTTAATCGTGAAGCTTTCATCGTCCTTCTAGGCGACATCATCAGCACTAACTTCAGTATGAAGTGAGCTATCAGTATCTCTCCGTCAGTGAGTGATTTACTGGCTTGCCTTGACCACGTGGTCTGTGATTGGTTGTTTCCTTTGATTGCTGTGTCGTTGATTGTATAGACTTTCCTGTTGGCTGTTCCTCTGCTTCACCTCTGACCTTTCTGTCGTTTATCATCTTATTGGTTGATAGATTGGGTCTGTCTATACATTTATTGATTGCTGAATTACCTGAATGCCAAGCTTCTAGGAATTCTCTGACATTCTTTGTGTTTCCTCTCTCCATCCAACATTTCTACATTGTCGAGATTGAATTCATGTCCATCGTTGTTATCCACATACATTGAAATGAGTGATGAAATGTCGTGATGTTTAATAGCCAATTGGTGCTCATGTAGACGAAGGCGAAGAGGGCTATCACTTTTTCCAATGTAGTATTGACTACAGTTATTGCAGTTGATTTTGTAAATGATATTCGGTTTGTCTTCTTTGCTTGTTGCATCCTTTAGTCTGCATAATAGTGTTTGGAGGGAATTTGTTGGTTTATGAGTCACACCAATTCCAAATGGTCACAGCAATCTTAACGTGATTTCTGATACATTCTTTATGTGTGGTAGGACGATGCGTTTATTGATTTCTGTCGATGACTTTGTAGTTGGTGATGCAGGGGGTAGGCATCTTCTGATAAAGTTTCGTGGTTAGACGTTCTTCTTTAGGATGGACATCAAGTAATTTTCTTCGTTTCTTCGTGAAGTTGTTGTACTGCAGAGTGCTCTCGCTCTTCTGAATAGAGTCTGCATGCAACTGAGTTTGTGTGTTGTTGGGTTGTTGCTATTGTAGTTGAGGATTTGGTCAGTGTGTGTTGGCTTCCTGTACACTTGGGTTTCCAGCTTCCCCGTATTTGTTCTATTGACCAGAACATCTAGGAATGGTAGTTGGTTGTTTGACTTCTTCTCCAATGTGAATTTGATGTCACTGAAAACGTTGTTGATCAATTTGTGGGTGTTTTCATTAAAAAGATTATCATCATTTTTAATGATGACAAAAGTGTCGTCTACATAACGAACCCAAATTTTTGGTTTGATCACAGGTAGAATAATGGCTTCCAGTCTCTGCATCACTCCTTCTGCTATTAATCAGGATATCGGTTATCCCATTGGAGTTCCTTTCATCTGTTTGTATATCATGCCGTTGAATTGGAAGTATGTTGTCATACAAAGGTCGATGAGTCCCATCAGACTTGAACATTTGAGTTTTGTGCGTTCTGAAAGGTTTTTGTCTTCATTGATAAGGAGGGATATCGTTTCCTTGGCCAATTGAGGTTCGATGGATGTGTATAGTGCAGTGATATCGAAGGATATCATTAACTCATCGTTTTCTATGTTAATATTTTTGATCTTTTCTAAGAATTCTGTTGGTGACTTGATGGAATGTCGGCATGATTGGACGAGGTGTTTCAGTCTTCTCGAAAGTTCTCTTGATATGTTGTATGTTTGAGTTCCTGGAAGTGAGACATCTGGTCGTAGAGGGATATCTGGTTTGTGCATATTTGGTCTGCCGTAGAACCGAGGAAGGACAGGTCCATTCGATTTCATCCTTCATTTGTCTTGCTTTGTTATTTCTTCTGCTTTGAAGAGTTTGTCCAAGGTTTTACTGATCTGGTTGTCGAACTTCTGGATAGGGTTGGTTTCAAGTGGTTGATATACATTTTCGTCTTTGAGTAATTCCTCTGCTTTCCTTATGTAGTCTTCTTTGTAGTGCATCCCTTGTCTGCTGGAAGTATAACGATGTCTTTCCTATTTTTTAGCCTTTTTAATGTTTTCTGTTCTTGAGTGTTCATTTGAGCATGATGTCTCCTCTGCCTGGTTAGTGGTACGATTGTTTGCCGTATTTCTTGTTGAGTGACCTCATTTAATCCTGGTGTTTTAAGTGAGGATTCTAATGCCGCAAAGAATTCTGGTTTCGAGGCATCTCTTGTGTTGTAATTCAATCCTTTTTGAAGGAGAAGTTCTTCCATTTTCGTTAGTGGTTGTTTTGATAAGTTGATAACGCAGTCGTTTGTTTCTTCGGTTGTAGGTTATTTTTATATTCCTCAATGTTCATTTGTAGATTCGACCTTCTTGTATAAATACTGGATGTCCAAACTTTAGCGATTATTGATCGAAATCCACTTGGATGTATATGTAAACTGTTTCAACCGGAGTTACGTTTTCGACTGCGAACCTACTGAGCTGAAGGGAACTAGTAGTACCTATAAAGGAAACGAGAAGACAGAGACGAAGGAAGGAATGTTTATTGTTAACGTGTGGTACAGTAGTCGTTAAATTATGATGCATCTTGTACTAAGACAGTCATTTGCATGATATGCTTCATTTTCTCTTCTGCTTCTCTATTGATTTGCCCTTAATACGACCGCGTTGTTCCTTGCGTTTCTCTGGGCAGAATCCGTACACATTGCTGGTAATTCCCTATAATTTCTGCCACCCTCTCAACATATGCTACTTATATCCATTCTTATCACTAACTCCCACTACACCAACAACCCTCATACCAGTTGTGGTTCATAACGTAGTGAAAGTTGGATTAGGTTGGAAGACGGTTCAGAGTGACGAGACCAAGACATGAAACCACTTGATGAAATTTTTAATTGTTGGTCTGACTGACCCATTCAGCGAGATGTAACCTGCGTAGTTGGAGTCCTCTAAACGGAAGGAATTAATGGTTGGCAACTCTCGCTGACATGAATGAAAATTGGTCATTATGGCGCATATGTACTCACTCTTTAGCATCTTCTCAAGCTTTGGTATTTTCACTAACCGTTATTTTCAAATTATTTGTTCTCTCATGCAACTTTGTCTAGTTTGATATAAGTCTTTTTCTATCTACTTGTTCCTTGTATGCTATATGAAGTGTGGCAACTTGACCCGATGTACTTTTGTGCAAGGTCAGTTAGTTAGCTTTGTCATACTTCATTATTAACTTTATTGCCTCTTCTTTTCTTTCTGCTGTTTTTTGCATCTTTTGCTTATGCTGTTTGCGTTTCCCCATCTTTCCTATTGTCTTTTGACGGTCATGTGAGTAGTGGAAACTTGGAACTTTATGCAGTATTCCCATGTTCATTTTTGTTGCTGACTGTTGGCTTACGACAGTGCTGAAGGATAAGTGAAAAAATGGTAACATCGCGTTAAAATTCACAAGAATGATCTGACTTAATGGGAAATGGATAATTTACAACCGACCGAATCCTCATAGGTTTACGTAGGATAAGAGGCAGATGCATCTTCGCTAATGTGATATGTTGGAGTAGTGTTAGCAAAAATCGACTTACTTCTGCCACGAGTGTACACTGACAAATTACGGTGTGTATTCAAATAAATTGAATAAAAATCTGACTATACATTTGACGCTTGAGGAGAGCCTTTAAAATATTGTTTAGGAAACGAACCATTAAGAAGTTGGCAGCTGTAGAGGGTCTATGTTCTTTCTGCGAGTTCTATGTAAATTAATATTTATTGATATGCTTGTGATCATCATTTGACTATCTGAGATAGCCGTAGTTTGGCAGACTAGTATTCACACTGGGTGATGATTTGAGGTGAAATAAAAATTTGGACCGCAGTTGAATTCTAACCAGCAGTCACCGGGTTTCCGACCCGATGCTCTGCCAACTGACTTCGTAGCTCAGTTGGTGGAGCATAGGTCCGGAACCCGGTGGTCACTGGTTCGAGTCCGGATGCGGTCCAAATTTTTATCTCACCTTCAGTCACCACCCAGTATAAATACTTGTAATTCTCCGTTGTTTCATTGGATCGAATTGTTCTACCTCTATTGGCATGTGGTCTCCCATGCGGATGCCTTGATATTGACTGAATGTTAATGATGGTAATTTGTTTGGTTGTGGCTAGCAGAAGAATCCAGGACGCGCGTTCCATCCTATTTGGGACCCTTCAGCTGGATGCACCTGCACCTCAGTGAGTGTTGTTCGCACTGTTAGCCACAACCAAACAAATTACTATATGTATATTGTTAGAATTTCATTCCATGTAGTATATATCTCACTGTTCATTTCGATAACCACTAAATGGAATATAAAAATGTTAACGCTAGGTCAGATGAGACAACTAAACGTAGTAATGGAATATGTAGATCGTAGATTATTTTAACTTCAATACCTCTGTGTAATGAGACACTCATAAGAATGTATATAATATTATGCATCGAATCGAATCGAAGTGTATTCAGCAATCAAATGCATATTTGTGCAATAGACAATAAGCCACACCTCTTATTGTGTAAGAGCTAATAGAACTACTACCTGGCTGCTCAAATCTCGTTAGATGGGGCAAATTTTGAACCTGTGACCCACTGCTTGAAAGTCAACTAATTGAACCAATTAGCTACCGCTTTACAGTAGTATAAATAGCAACATTAAACATGATTACGATCAAGTGTTGGTGATTAAGATTAAAATGAATACACAACATAGAATAGAAATATAATGGGCAGGTATAGTGTAGATACTGCACAAAAGGTTGTTTACAAATGCGAACCATAATATTGTAAGGTTTAGTGTATATTTTGTTTCTAGCCATGATGGGTTGTATATTTTCTCAATAAACCGTATCCTGCTGACTCAGTAGTCTTCGCTTCACATATATTTCAGAGAGCAAAACTATCTACTATTCAACTGTTTAGTTTAACTTTCTCCCTTATAAGATACTTAAATGAAAACCAGAAATATTTGTAGTCTTTTAAAGGAATTAGTCGTATGCACTGAATGAATCGGTTTAGTTCACTTCTCACTCTATTTTTTCATTCATCACTAGGCAATACTTGAGATATGATTAATGGTTAGTTAGTTGGTTGTAAAGATGTATTGTAGTGATTAAAGCTTCTTTTTTTGCTTTAACAGTTGAGCACTATCATATTTCATGTGTTGTCTGTATGCCTTTCAAACGGATTGATTTTCTTTGTATCTATAATAAGTAAGTAGTACATAAGATAAGTTACTTATGATTGTGACTATTTTAAGCTTAACACTGATACTATTTATTGAATTAGTTTTAAGTTCATTTTTCTTCTTCAAATTGTTTCACTTTCAGTGGAATCTTGCGTAATTCACTAAAAACAATACTCATATACTTTCAAATTTGAGTGTAAAGTCGTACTATACACACATTATCCTCATCTTAACAACGATATACCGAATCTCACTATTTTGTCACTCCTCTTTCCTTTCTTCTCATGCTTTATATTTCTTTTGACTGCATTCACTTATCTTCATCTTTCACCTCACTACCTTTTTACTTGATGTGCTGATATGAAGTGTGGCAACTCGGACCGTTACGCAGTAATGCCTGGTCCTATGTTGATAATGATGATGATGATGTCTATGTTGATTTTATTGAGACGTTTTTCGTGTACAAGTAACTTACCTTCCATACTGCCGCTGTATTGTTGGATGAAACTAGCGGCGGCACAGATGAGGATATCAGAGCCGCGATCGGAAATACAGCAAGACAGGCCTTTCTGCATTAATCTGAAATCAGTGTGAAGATCTGCACTCAGCATAAAGCGTGAACAAGATCCGAATTTTCAACACTAGTGTTTCTATATGGTTTGCAGTACTTGTCGCGTTACGGAAAGCATTTCCAACACCATACATCAACAGCTGTCGTCTACACTCGATACTGAAGATCAGATGGCCAGAAAGAATAAGCAACAAGGAACTTACTGTGGCAACGAACCAACCAAGAACCCATTGCCCAACGAATATGTAGAAGAAAGTGGAGATGGATTGGATTGGACAAAGACTGAGAAGACGGTTTGGGGAGATGACGCTTCAGGTCCAGGCCGTCTAGTGGGACCCAAAGTTGGAAACGACGAGTTGGACGTCTTAGCTGAGGGTGACATGTAGGAGATGATGTGAGGAAGAAATGAAATCATGTGGGCAGTTATGGAGCCAGGTTGAAAAGACTGGAGAGAAGAGAGTGGAATGGAGACGTGCTACTGAAGCCGTATGTTCCACTAAGGATCCAAGGGACAAATAATACCAATAATAGTAATGATCATTTCACGTTTTTTTCACAGATATTCTGAAGTTATTCGCTTACTACACGAGGTAACAAAGATCGGGTTGAAATTCTCTGTGTGTGGTTGGAGAGAGGTGTAAGATTTTTTAGTTATCTTATATTGTAGCAAACGCATCTCATTAGCTTAATTATTCAACATTCAAACAATAGGTTGTAGGTTTGAACTCTGCTGCATATACTTCAACCTGAGCAGTCAGATGGCATTACAAGCTCTCATAAATTAACTATAACTCCTAGCCTATACAGCCTAGTATATGAACTTAAAACATTTTACGAAGTCACTAAACCTTCCTTTAGTACTTACTATTGCTTATCGGCCTCATGTAGAACTTGTAATGTATTGAATTAATGTTCTCAAGAGGTAAAAGGTGTCATATGTCATGGAAACTGGAAAGTAAGTCAAGTAAGCATTCGTCGTAAAACAGAAACATTCATCTGTAATCTATATTTTCTTTAGTAATTTCTGCTTTCTAGCCCTTAATCTTGCTTGTTTTCATTTCTATCCTCTTGTTAAGTTTTGTTTTCATATATTTCTGTTGTATAAAGGATGTATCAGATTGATCTATGGTTTATGTTACAAGGTTACTTAAAATAAATGAATTGATTCGTTGGATTTATCCTTTATTTTCTCTAATCATTTAATGAGAATTTAATGTCATTTCATGTGAATTATTTTTAAAAATGTTATTGTTGTTATTTCATACAACCTTTTTTGACACTATGAAATAAATGTATACAGTCAATATGCATCTTGTTCCAGAATACTAACAATTGTTCACATGCCCAAGGTATAGTTTACGTTGTGTTTTGTATAAATGACTTTATGTGTCTAAAACTTTACTTGTACAATATCGAGAAATCGATAGAGAGAAACAGGTGAACAGTAAACTGAATTAATTTGTATTATCACGATGCAGTAGACAAAATTAGTAAACGTAATTTGTTTGGTTGTGGCTAGCAGAAGAATCCAGGATGTGCGTTTCGTCCTATTCTGGACTCAGCTGGATGTACCTGCACCTTAGTGAGTGATATTGTTCCCACTGAGACTTGAACCTCATACATCCAGCTGACGAGTACCAAATAGGATGAAACGCGCATCCTGGATTCTTCTGCTAACCACAACCAAACAAATTACCATCATTAACATTTAGTCAATATCAAGGCATCCGCATAGGAGTCCATATGCCAATAGAGGTAGAACAATTCGATCCAATGAAACAACGGAGAATTACAAGTATGATATGAATGAACAAAGTAGGTGTGTATTCAGTTTCTACGCAGTGTTGCTAATGATTTCAGCCTGTATTAAATTAAAAATCTTTGATATCCCTGAAATGTAGACGTTTGCTTTTGTGTAGGTATTCACTTGTGTGGACTAATATATAAATAAATAATAAATATCTTTATTCTCAAGTTATGAAGTTAACAAGAAACCGAAAGAGAAATTCTTTAGAAATCTCGACAGCTATCTACTAACTCATTTTAGAAGTAGCTACTATTAATTCGGTCTGTTTTCATCATCTGGTTGAATCTGAAGATCAGGAAATCATTATTATTTTATAATCTTTAGGTCTATAATGGATGTGAATAAACGATTTTTGAAGTGAAATTTCAGTAGACAGCCAGTACAATCCTCTCACATTAGAAATTGATTTTCCAAATTATTAAAGGGTATTTCTTCATTTGTTGCCTGAGCTGATTAACTTCCTTATCCAAGTTAACTACCACTAGGGTTATGCATATACGATTAACCATTTACAGCGGATTTATCAGTATTTTGGTAAAATTTACTCTTCGTTTAATGGAAAATGCAATCACTTAGCGTCGAAATACACTCAGCTACCTTGTGCACATTTGTATGATAGCTACTACCTGGCTGCTTAAACCTCAGTAAGTCCAGCGGGGCTCAAACCCATGACCCATCAGTTGATCGTCATCTCTCGAAACCAAAGAGCCACGGCTCCACAATCACTACGCGTTCAACCTCAATGTATAAATAGCTATGGGTAGCTCAGTCCTATTCGCCTGTAATCTGTTAGAAACACTCGTAGAGGACACAGTTAACTGATGTTTAGTTGTTAGTATGCTGTCTTCCTTTGAAATTTTTAGTACTGACGCTTTCTTGTCCGTGTTTTACATAAGTAAAATGAACCATTGGCATGAGTGTATGGGCTTTTGAATTTAAAATTGAGGTATCCAACTAAGCTTAATTCATTACGTCATAGGAATGTGTAACAGATTTTGTGTAAATGCGTTTTGTATGTAGTATAACTTTCAGTCAACTGTGTATACTCGCTGTCTATGCTATACGCATATTGTATGGAATGGTGTTAGAATCTGTCTCAGCTATTGACTTATTAAGTTATAGTCGAACATTTAATCAACCAGGTCACTCTTATTAATAATGGGTAGTGGCCAACAGTGGAATCCAAGACGCGCGTTTCGTACTATTTGGGACTTGTCAGCTGGATGTGCCTGCCTCCTGGTGAGTGATGTTATCCCATCATTAATACATAACTGAAACACAGGCAATATCGAGGCATTCGCGCAGGAGCCCATATGCCAATGGAGATCGATCAGTTCGATCCAATCAATAACGGGATAATAAAATAAGCAGCAACATTAAAGCTAAGTTACTCATTCTTCTACTCTCAGACTATATGTGTGTATATGTGCTTGAGGTGGATAGACAGTGCAAAATTTGTTGAAGGCTATTAACTGCCGTTAGTAAATTCATCACCTTTTTCGAAATGATCTCCTCTTTCAAATATAACTTCATTTTATTGGTCTTTGCTTTTCATATTTTAGGTCTGGTTCATGTAAAAAGATCGATGAATATCTGCAAAAGTATCAGAACCCTAGCCAAGCAGATGGTTTAATGCGACTTCAAAATGAATTGGATGAAACTAAAGTTATCTTAGTGAGTTATTTAATATAGTTTACTGATGAAATTAATTATGGTATGATTCCGATCGATTTTCTGGTGTTGTTGATTTCCTTTTCTATTTTTGTGATATCATTTAGCTGGTTATTTCATTTTGACGACTAAAAATAGCACAGGATTTTTTTTCCCCAAAACGAAGTATATAAATTGGTGAATAAAAATGGGTCGATGGTTGTTACTTTTAATGCTGATATCTTGGATATATTTCATTAAAAGTAATTTTAATCTTCTCTATGCTGTTTATCTTTTTCATTCAGTAAGTTGTGTATGCCTCTTAGCAGAAGACTACTGATTTTTTCTCACTTGGTTATTTGGTTTTCTTCAAAGTATTTCTGTATTTAACTCGCTTACTTTTTGTAGTTGGTTTGCCTATCTATCGCAATGCAAGCCTATTCATCTTAGCTGGTTGATGTGCACTTTTTGTAGACTGATTTACCTCATTTTGACTTTGGTATATGAACACTTCCTTTTATGTAGCATTCGATGAAGTGTTGCCTTCACTAAGCTTCATTTTTCAGATTTGTTCTTCTTCCATACACTTTTTCCGACTTTGATATCAGAGTTTCTCCACCCCCACCCCACCCCCTTGTTCTTTGCATACTGCTATGGAGTGTAGCAACTTGGAGCGATGCACTTCTGTATAAAGTTCTATGTTGGTTGTGCTTATCTGTCAGTCAGTCAAATCTTAAACAAGGCAATAAATTAATTCGTCCTGTGTGAGACAGGTCACCTATGCGTCACTTAAAGAAAACCTATGTATTTCTTTCCTGTATATGACTCACAGCAGTGGAATCATGATGTCGAAACTATTTCAATTAAATCATCTCTTCCGAGTCAGAAGACCAACCGAAAGTGGTGAGATTCTTAGATGCGTAGTTACGATGCTCGATAACCGGCTCAGCTGAAAAAAGAAGCAGACAATGTTTGACTGAAGCGAGCTTACTGCAACCGAAAGTAATGAAGGTAGCAACCCAGGGTCACAACGCTTACTTTTATGTACAATGTTATGCCTTACTGGAACGAATAAACAAAATAGCGTATTAAAAGAAAAGTAAGGGATTAACCAATTCCAAAACAGTTTTCTTAAAAACCGCAAAATTCAGCGGTACACGTGAACCGAACAAAGGCGCGAGAAAAACAATTCAAACTTTCAATAATATAAATTTATAATATATAAGTGTACAGCGTTTTTGATTTTTCGGGTTATAGCATCCCCAGCAACGAGAATTAGCTTTATTGGATTAGTGACTAAAACGAAAAAACAAATACTTTACAGATTTCATAACTTCAAGATGTTATATTGATCTTGGTGACTAGCAGAAGAATCCAAGACGCGTATTTCGTTTTATCTGAGACTCGTCAGCTGGATGTACCTGCATCCCAGTGAGTGGATAACTCTCCGACGTTGAAAGAGAAGGGTATAGGGTTTGAGCCTCAGTGGGAACAACACTCACTGGGGTGCAGACTCACCTAACCGACGAGTTCCAGATAGGACGAAACGCGCATCCTGGATTTTCCTGCTAGTCACCAAAATTGAGGTATTTACATAAGAACCCATTTACTTACAGAGGTCGAGGAATTCGTCCCTCTGTAGCAACGGGAAAATACAAGTATCATTATATCATAAGTTCATCTCGCCCAAGATTATTCAAAGCAAGTTTAGTATGAAACACTAGTGAATCAAAGGAGTCACATGAAAAGATAAAATATGTTATGGAAACACTTCTATTCAGAAATCATTCTACAAAGTTTTCAGCAAGATTTCACGAAAATGCATAAGAAACGAGGTAATGTAATAGTAGCGCCAATAAAATTCTATATCGTCCTAGTTGGGTCTTTTTTCGATTACCCTTCATTTTTGTCAGTTTTTTTGGTTCATATATATATATATATATATATATATATATATATATATATATGCACACAAATGTAGGCTGCCTTGATCCTATTATCGCCCGTTATAATCCTTAGTAATATCGATTACGCTTGCCAACTGAGGTACACTGTGTTATCAATAGTTTTGCACGGATTTCCACATTTTAGTCATTTCAAAAAATTGAATCGTAATCCACTCAACAATCTTGTTCACATTTGTACAACAAGCCACGTCTGTGTGAGAATTAATGATACCTACCTGCTTGTCTAAACCTCGGTCTATGGAGCTGGGTTCGGACCCACGACCCAATGGTTGGAATTCGAATACTTAGTTCGTTGAGTCCCAGCTCAAAGGAGCCTGAATGTGTGATGTATGAGGACTGACTACCTGTGGGAAATATTTACGGGTTCCAGTTCAGTTTTTATTTTTAGGATACTGAAGTTGCCTTTAAAGAAGGACTGTCTAGAAGGTTATCAGAGTGTGAGAACTGACGACACCAGTGGGTCACAACTAATATCAGTTTATGACGACAGTATTCAACCGATCTGTCTCAATAAGGGGTGAAAATACTCTACATTGTTCTTATCACTTTGGAAATTATTCATTGGCGATTACAACAATATAATCTTGAAAATTAAACGATCGGTTCATTTTTTTTTTACATGATAAGTTATTCGATTATTGAATGTTATGGAGGTTAATTAAATAATCGGTTGACATTTTAATATTTTAAGGATAAACTAGTGATGCGAAAGGTGAGTATTCAGAGTAGGGCAATAATTTAGGCTATTTAAAAGTCAAAGAAGTTCAAAAGCCAAAAAAACTAAACAGTTTCCATGTATATTTTGTATAACTGAACGTTACTCGGAAATCCTGTTAGAAATGTTTTAATCGGAGCATCTCTCAAGTGAACTAGTGTGTACTGATGAGTGGTGTATAAGTAATTAGTCACCAATTAAGTCGATAGGTAGGTAGATAAGTAGTAAACTTTTGAAGCCAAATAATAGTGACTCTAGCATAAACCATCCATTTCGATCACATTAAGGACTCTTGGTGAAATTATTGAAGATCGGTCACAATGTCGTGAATGTATTTCACTCTTCGATATCTTCTGAAATCTAGAGTGATATTGGTTACAATGGGTGATTTTTTGGTTTCTTATTTGTTAAACAATGGGTTCTACCAGTTCTTTCTAATACTCATTCGATTCAGCGTCTGGAAAGTGTTGGTAACCTGTTGCGAAATCGATTGTGATGCCATAAACCGCATGTGTCTTATTACTCTTCATTTCCTTGTTTGCTCTGTTTATATCACCTTTTTTCTCGTCCAGATTGATATCGTTTCATTTCTGTTTATTCTAACCTTATGTGAAAATTTAACTGATTCACTTTTTTGTTGTCTGAACTCATACTCCGCTGATTTGAACAGTACAATTGCTGATGGCTTAAACAAAAAGTTAACAAGACAAAGTTCATCTGAACAATGGTGTATTTGCGCAATACATTTCAAACACTCTGATCACACATTTACTTGTCAAGTCAATATATAATAAACCGAAAAGTGGGAGGACAAATTTACATCATCCTGACTTGTGAGAAAGAGAATAATGATCATCTGGCAGTCATAGATATACTCCCGAGTCTGCGAGAAGATGGTTTAATAAGACAGTTTACGGAAAGTCTACCTGGACGATACTTGAATTTTCACGGTTTTTGTCCAATCTAATACAAGCGAGGTGTAGTAAAATGGTTGTTTAGTAGGATCTATCGTACAGTTCATCAGATACGATGGATGAAGACATCAAATTACCAACCAAAATATTCATAAAAAATTGATATCCGTTGAATTTTATAAACCGTTATAGAGGTCAAGTTGCGTCGAAGCCAACTCTATACACCATTCCTAAGAAAAGCGTCCATATCACTCTACCATACAGATGGAAGTTGAATTGTATCATTTTGAGACGTAGTCTGACATCAGCCATTAAGAAAACATACTACGCGGCTTATCTTATCACTGTGGGAAAAAGACATGCTTCACCAAAAAGCTAAACGCTACATCGATGATTCCGTCACATTCCATTGCGTTTACCAATTTATATGTGTGTGCGGTCACACATATATAGGGAGGAGTAATCAAGCCATGCAGTTGAGGGTGGGAGAATATGTATCTAAATGGCTTCAAAAATAAATGGAATATGAGACCGTGGTAAACGCTGGTGGGAGACGACCCTCTTCATCTATAGCTAAACATATCATAGAAACAGGTCACAAAATTTTTTTCCAAACAGCTTTCAAAGTTTTATATAGAAAGAGTCAGGGACGTATACTGAGATTCGCGGAAACCACAGCCATACACAAATTTAAACCACCTTTATGTGTACAAAAACAATTTGTTTTTACACTGCACCTACTTTGGTAAACTTTGTTTTCTTACCAAGATTAGGATGAACTATGCCACTCTTCCTGTTTGTTCTCATCTTTCTTAATCCGAATCCCCTATTATGTCAATTGTAGTATTTGTCCTCCCACTCTTCGGTTTAATATATATGGACTTGACAAGTAAATGTGTGATGAGTTTGTTCGAAATGTGTTGTGCATATACACCATATTATTCAGACAAACTTCATCTTCAAATTACGCTATCGAAATTCATAAAAGGAACTAACTTTCAAAAAACGTTTTACAGTCATTTCTAACAACAAGATATCAGTCTACCGTAATAACTTTATCTTTTAATATGATCTTCCGAGTTTATGAGTTAAATTACGCCAATCAGTTGATTTAGGGTCATTTTTGTAGGATTGACAGTCGAAATGAGGAATTGACTAGCGTCGGAATACCGAAAGGCTTTTGTTTGGTTTGTGACAGTGCATTCGCTTGTCGTGTTTTTAATATGACATCTGTCGGTGACTTCCTTACAATTTCTATATGTTCAACTGTAACAGCAATTTACGTTCCCAAAGGTTAAAGCTAAATCAGTGGTGTTGATTCTAAACTGATATGTATGAAGTAGAAAACTATGAAGCATTGAGCTCGTACTCAGTGACTGAATGGTTAACGTGTTTGCCATAAAAAAATAAAGGTCCTGAATTCAATCCTTGTGGGCACGTACTGCTGAAGAGTCCCATGCTAGAATGAAACAGCTGTCCAGTGCCCTTAGGTTTTCAGTAGTTTGCCAACTGAAGTCAGCCCATTATGAATGCTACCTTAAAAATAAAATCCTCATTAATCTCGAAATGCGTAAATTAATTAACTACTAAGTGACGGAAGGGGGATCTTTGAGAAGGGATCCATTTTAACCCAAGATTTGTATCATTTCACTTGTACTCAAATTAACACGCTTCTACTTTTAAATAGTTTTCTTGTGTTCATTCATTCAATCTTTTTTTTCCAGCATAATACATTAGAGTCACTCTTGTCCAGAGGCGAAAAACTTGATGATTTGGTTGAACGATCCGAAGGTCTTAGTTTACAATCAAAAATGTTTTATACTACAGTGAGTTTTATTGATATTTTATTTTCAATTGTTTTGCGCATATATATGAAATGATATCTAACAAACATACTCTTAGCCGGTTGGTTTTCCTAGTCGATTGAGTGAAGCGTGTAATTTCAGTGTCTAACTAGCCAAATTATATAATATAGGTGTAAAACTTGGGCACTGTTGTAGAATGTTATTCCATATTAGATTATTTTAATTTGGTTTATAACCCACAGTGATAAAGTATTATTTTACCTGATGACGTTTCCTGCATAAATTATCATTGCTCATAGTCATAGCAATGGAATCACACAGCAATCTCGACATCTAATTTTTATGGTTCTATCACCTCATATGATTCTTTTTATTGGTGGTAAAATTTTCCATATCTTTGGTATAGGTGTTACGTCATTTCTATTACATGTGCTGGGTGTTGGGTTAATATGTGGAGGACACATTTACCGTTTTGAAATAGGAACATATAGACAATTTCTTCACACAAACTCAGTAGTAGGCTCAATTCAGTTCACTTACGAGGTAGAAAATGAACAAGGAGGATTACCTATGTTGTATTGCAGGATGAAACGAAAGGCAGCCGGTGGTTTGTATACTACCATCTACAGAAAACCGACACATTCCAACAGGGATCTAGACTTCAACTCATCTCATCCAATGTCAGTCGGTTAAGGCAAGTTTAGTCGAATGTTTAAATGATACAGCTATAAAACTGACTAGTCAGTGCAAAGACCTAAACAAGGAATTGAAATACGTTAAAGAAGCGCTAACAGTTAATAATTATCCTCCGCAGTTTATTAAGAAATTCGTACGAACGCACAGGAAACGAGAGGATAGCAGTAGTGCCAGTATGAACGGTACAAGTAGAAAGGAGTTTACAGCCTCAATTGTGTTACCCTAAAAGGAAGGTACATCAAAAACTTTACGTAGGATCAGCAACAAGGCTGGAATTAAGGTGGCATTTAAACCTACAAACTCACTAAGATATAAGCTTGTCGTCTGGCTTAAGGATTCGATGGAACCAATTCAGCAAAATAATCCAATCTATGAAATTCTATGTAGTGACTGGGGGTCAAGTACTTAGGTCAAACTAGCCGGTCGATGGAAGTAGAATTAGCGGAGTATAGGAATTTGGCTAAATATAGAATGACAGACCCCAATAAGATGAATAATCTGGGGGAAACCTTAGCTACTGCAGTGCAGGCATGCATTAACACACAACCACACAATAGGTTGGGATAAAGCCCACTACACTTAAGTTCAATACAATTAGGTGGAGACAGAAGGAGATCGATCACTGAATCTTTGTTAATCGAATCAACCAACACCCAACACATGTAATAGAAATGACGCAACATCCAAACCAGAGATATGGAAAATTTTACTACCAATAAAATTAAATCATATAAGGTGACAAGACTATAAAAATCAAGTACCGAAAGTAATGTGATTACATTGATATTATTATGAGCAATGATAATTTATGCTGGAAACATCATCAAGTAAATATTACTAGATCACTGTGTGTTATACATCAAAAAAGCATATCTAATATGGAATTTAACTATATGATACAATTTTTCTAATGAGTCGGAGTCGATACACTACTCATAGGAGAGAAACCTCAGTAACAGCCTACATACATATACCGGTATTCATATGAATGCTAATGTTTTCATTGAAATTATGTTTAAAAAAAACAAAAAAAAAAACAACTGCATTCCTTCAAACATCAAACCGGTTGCTACTAGACTGAGTAGTGTTCATTTAAACGCGTTAGTGCTTGACAATTTACGTCCACTTGTGTTCAACAGTGTTGTGATGATAATGATAAAACAAGAATGTTGTTATGTAAACAGTTTATATTACTGTGTTATTTCTTTACTTTTAATTGTCCCATATTTTATGCTCATTCTTCAGTTGATGTTATTTCTCATTCAATTTACAGTATAAATTATCATCTTTGCATTTACTGAAAAATACTCATCTAGTGTTGTTTTTGTATTTTTCTTTTTGTTTGTTTGTTTTATTTTAATCACTTCTATTCAGGCAAAGAAAACAAATAAATGCTGCGTTATACTTTAAATTCATTATTCTTCACTTATCTCTATCCTATTTCTCCATGGAATCAGGTAATTAAATTGATGACTAAAAATACCTACAAGTTCCATTTGATTTCTTTCTTCAATCTTTCAAAAATATAGAATCAATTACATTGTCTATATACCTTGTTTTTATTTACATTTTACTAACTAATCAGCTGATCATATTTCTGCATTATTTGTCTTAATCTCATTATTCGCTATCTATTAATTAATAATACACCAAATAACTCTGATATGTGTTCAGATTTTATTTTTCAGAAGTTATCCATTTCCGATTATATAATATCTTATTACAAGCTTCTATTTTGCTCAACATCTTACATTATTTAAACACTTTGTTGATGATTTGTTTCCAATGTGAATCATTTTCGTCTGTAAGTTGCTGCCTACCAGTTAACTGTGATGATGAATATCATCGTTATGTTGTCATTGTTGTATGACTGAATTCATGTAGTTCTTTGTTGATGTGTGTGAATAGGTCTGTGCTACTATTATTATGATGATGAATATTCCTCATACCCTAATAATAAACACGATATTTGTCCGTGCATATGTACATATTCATCACAGTTATTCTTCCTGCTCAGTTATATTTCTCTGTTTGTAATTTGTCAATTTGATGAAAAGAATCTGTTTAAATATAAAAATTAAATAGCGTTGTATTCTCTATGTGTTGATTTTCGTGTGAATTCGCTTTGTCTTCACTTCTACTACCTCTGTTCATCATTGTTTCTGTATAGTTGATTGAATAGTTTATAGTTTTCGATCTGTTGTAAAGTTGGAAAAGTTTGATTAACTGACAAAATTAGCGTGGAACCTCTCACACAGATGCATCGGCTCAAGTTGTCACACATCCTCAAAAGTACACAAAGAAAAGGTGTGTAGCGAAGTGGTAAAATGTGTGTAAAAGAATAATAATCTTTAGATAACGGTTAGTGCAAATATTCAAGCGTTAGAAAATGTCAAAGAATGAATACGTATGCGCTAGCCATGTCACCAACAGTTTTCAACCACTAATTCTTGTCGTCTTAGGGACTTTAGCCAGGCAGTCTATATCACTTCATATGGCTCAGACCAACAGTAAGAGACTTCATCGAGTGGTGCCATATTTTTGTCTAGCCAACGTAATCCAACTTCTGCCAACATCGCATTTTGAGGTAGGCGGTGACTGGGAAGATATCTCAGTCGACTAAGATTAGCAACTTACATGTTTTGCTTAGTGCTCTTCCCCTGACCTCAACATTGCTCACATGATGATTCCACCAAATGTGAGCAATGGTACGAGGACACCTATGATCGAAACCCTGCAACATTTTCATTTTTTCTACTTTCAGTAGCCGTGTCTTACAGCCGTATAACAGGGTAGAATGGACTGCAGCTCTGTATACTTGTCCTCTGATTGTTAATCGGATATCTCGCCAGTCATCGCAACAGATGACGCGAGTTGGGAAATCTCAAACAGGCCTTCTGTATCTGAGTTGAGATTTCCTTAGCAACAAAACTGTTCGGGTTGGTACAACTTGCCAAGTAAGTGAAGTCGACATATTCCATCACTTCACTCTGTATCATTAAACTGGGAGTAGCTGCAAACCACTCATGGAGCATCTTATATTTGATAGTTGTGAGACTCATGCCAACCAAAACTCCAGATTTTTGTTTAACGCGTCCAGAACAACCTGCATTTTGTCAGTGTCTTCACCTAGCAGAACAATATCCTCTGCAAACTCCAAGTCAACCAGATGACCTCCAGGGAGTATGTTAATCTCTGTGAAGTCAGAGAAAAGTAGCTAGTTTTAAAAGGTGGCTGTCATAGATAAATCAAATATCCTGGTGATTTTTTCCTACCCTAACTTGTGAATCCTTGGTTAATTAGTTCTCGGTAGTTCTCTGCCTTTCAGTACAATATTAGATAATTAAGAAAGAAGATCCAAAATTGAGTTAGCATACTTAGTTACGTTGTTGGTGTTTTAGTATTCTCGGCTTTCAAAATAATCTTGAGAATTGTTGAATTTTCTTTTTATTTTGCTTAGTAGTAGTGTTTCACTGTGTCGTCATACATCTAATAAGCAAACTTAATTGGAATTACCAGTGTCCAAGTTTTACTGCTGTATTGATGTTTGTAGTCGATAAACGTTTCTGGGTTTTTTCTGAAGCTAAAGACTTTGTCAGCCATTTGTTATTTGATTATTATTTATCCCTTGGGTTCCTAGTGCAACATTGGGCCTCAGTAGCACGTCGCCATTTCCCTCTGTTCTCTACAGTCTTTTTAACCTGGCTCCTCACACGATCTTCATGTCATCCTGGGACGCCCAACTCGTCGTCTCCCCTTTGGGTTCCACTCGAGGGCCTGGCGCGTGATGTTCCCAATCGGTCTTCTCGGTTGTATGTCCAATCCAGTCCATCTCCACTTTCTTCTGCATTTTTGTTGGGCGATGGGTTCTTGGTTGGTTGCCAGAGTTCCTTGTTGCTTATTCTTTCTGGCCTCATCTGATCTTCAGTATGGAGTCATGCTGTAGTAAAGTGGTCCGTTTCAATCTGAGTACCTGGACACATCCTGTAAATAGTGGTACACCATTTTTTGATAATGTTCATCTTTCTCATAAATAACTTAACTTAGTGGACTGCAAACATATAATTTAATTTATGCTCACTTTTGTTATATTTGGGCATGAATAATGATAATAATAATATTCGCGTTATTCCAAACAACATATATGATACATTATGTAATTTTCAGCTTGAAATATTCTAACAAATTTGCTTTCCGTACAATATTTTTAAAAGAAATAATTATTACGTCTGCATAGTGTTAATAATAACAATATTGAAGGCATAAATCTGAAACGGGCAGCTAGTGTTACTTCAGCATTTGTTCTCGATTCGGAAGTTAGCACCAGATCAACTGTAATTTTGATGGTGGCAGTTCAGTCATTCAGCCGGCACAGAAATTCACAATCCCATAGGAATAGTAATGTGGCGTATTTTTGAGCATTTACAAATCCATTTCGAACAAGAAACGAAAGTTCGAAAACATTTTAAAAACATGTAAGAGTACTTGATACGTTCTGAAGACATTTAAAAGATAAAAACAAACTGAAAGGGGAGAATTCGGTGGAATATGTTTTGGTAGCCGAAGATTGATTTGTATATTCATTTCACTCAGGTGTTTGTCACAACTTGAACTTCTGGTTTGTATGTAGCCTTTTAAGGCATCAATCGTTTGCTTTTACAGGCTTGTCGGCGATTATGAAACTTTGGATTATCTTAAATGGGCTATAAATATCGAACAATCTGATCACATTTGAATTTGTTGTATAACTTTTGCATCTATTCAATTCCTAAAGAAAATGATTTAATCTGATTACTAGTTAAATGGGATCTCATTTTGACAACAGTGTTTACTTCGATCGCCAGATGGCGTAAAGTACTACACAACCAAGGTCATCACCATAGAAAAGACAAAATTGATGCTTGGATTGAAACAATCACATAACATCCTACAGCGTTTATCAATTGAAATGAATGTAGACTGAAGGAGTAGCCCTCATAAACGGTTGAAGGTTGTTGAACCTGTATCCAGGTTACATCAGAAGCGAATGAAGTTGAATAACCTTATAAAAGTCCCTGTAACAAACACAAAATTTCATCTTTATCTATCACCAAACATACTGCAAACTAGTAATAGGGCTGACGGCAAAACAACTCAATGTCTAGTATAAAAGTTGTCGAAGACGAACGCTTGGATATTTTAAAGCCACAGCCATCTCTATGTTTATCTCCCCCTCCTGTCGGTGTATTTGAAAATTATTTGTACTCATTTTACACGTCCTACCTTGGTAGTATTGACTGCAGTTTTCTCGCAGAAGTTTGGATGGCAAAGTAGCCACACAATAGGTGTGGCTCATCGTCTGCTGCGCTAACATCCACGTGCTTGTCGAGTTCATTTCAGTTTCTCAACCGTGGGTGATACAGTTAAAACATTTTCTGCCATTATTTGTCTTATTGTTCTTATATCGAACACATTGAATATTTTAAAACTTTCATTTAAATTATTTTGACCCATTCAAGTGTGATCAGATGGGTTGCTGCTACCGTTGATCTGCTAGTCAGTATGATCCAACCAGATTTACTGATGGAGCACTTACTCTCTTGAGTTCCTACCATATAAGAAAAGTCTTTCGGTGCTGCGACAAAAAACAGCTACCGTCATGATGTTAAATACTACACTATGATAGGGATCGAAGGCGAAGTCATACTGCTGACGACACGCAGATGTGACAGCAGTTCCATGTCGATATTGCCTCCCCTATGTGAAGGAGTGTTAGAGCAGCTCGCTATCAAAATTAGCACACTCTCCTATCCCGTGTATAAGTAAATTCAAAACGGAAAATTTAGCTGTAGACTCCTAAAAAGGGGATGTCTGACCGGTCTTCGACTCTGTAATCACATCACTATTACTAACCCAATTTCTTTTTCAGGTGCCTAAGGAAGAAGTGATATTCCACAATTTGGGTGGCCGAGAAGCGTCAATCTTCACCCTCAAATTACTTATTCCGTCATACATACGCGTGTGTTAGAATCACTGTGTGAGCAATGTCGAGGTCAGTCGAAGGGTACTAGGCGAATCGACTAATGAGGTTGCGAATCTCAATCGACTGAGATGTCTTGGACATGTGCTGCGCATGCCTAGCTTTCGCCTACCTCGACGTACCACGCTGCAGGAAGTTGGATTAGGTTAGGAGAGGTTTCAGGGTGGCCAGACCAAGACGTGGTACCACTCGATGAAGTCTTTAACTATTGGCCTAAGCCGTTTGGGGAGATGAAGACTGCTTGGTCGGGGTCCCCAAGATGACAAGAATCAGTGGTTGAGAAGTGTTGGTGAAATGACTGAAAATCGGTCACATTGGCGAAGATGCACATATTCACTCCTTGACATCTAAAGTTTAAACGTTCGCACTAACCGTTATCTTCAGATTTTTTATTCTCTCTCGCAACTTAATCCGTTTTAACATCACTCATACTACTATCCACCTGCTTTTTGTGTACTACCTTGATGTGTGGTGGCTCAAGCTGATGGACTTATGTGCGAGGTTCAATGTTGATTCTGTCCGCCGTCTTCATAATTTTCAGCAGTGATGTTCTATCAGGTCTCTTATCTTCCATCTTTGCCTCCTAATTGTTTTTCACGTTCCTTGGTCAACATTCCTACTTCTTTCATTACTCGCAGCTCTCGACAATGGTTTAAGTTCACATAACAGCATCTCTAGATTCCTCAAATCGCTCTCACAACTACAATGGGAGCTTTTAATGTCCTTATCCTCTGTTAAGTCAGATAAAAAACGTCGTTACTCAAGATTGTGGCATCTTGGATCATAGGTGTATGTTGTGTTTACAAGACATACACAGGAATCGTATGAGGTTTTTTATTTTACCTCATCCAGATAATATAGTGAATCTGAAATATTCAACCTCTATTTTTTTTGGAGATTTAATGACTATTTATCGCGTTCTTGTAGGTGCGGGTAAAGCAATAAATGCTAAGTCAGAGGGTGCACCTCTAGTTTGGATACTAGTTGACAGTCGCCTATTCGGCGTTGGGATTAGGTGCAGTGTGTTGTACCAAAAACTGTCTAGGCTTCTGAAAGTCAAGGGCTCAGATGT